AACCATGCCCTGAGTACCTTGTGCTTGTTTTTTGATTCAATGAATAATGAGTCTTTTACCTTTCTGTGTAAACTAATTCAAATAATAATTCGTTCTTAGCGGAAAAAAAAAAGTGTTATGATACACGATCATAAAACAACAAAGCTCTCCTAAAATAAAATAAAAAATAAAAAAAAATAACCAGCAAACAAACTTGATCGAAAATGGAATTACTGAAAAACCCAAAAGTTATAACAACACTGAAAAAAAAAATATTTTGTAAGCCATATGTGGGATATAAGAATCAACTAATATTTCTATATTATTGTAAGGAAACTATAATAAAAATACATTATGATTTAGTGGGGGTATTCATGAATATTAAGGGTACAAATAGAATTACTCAAAAAAAATCAAATAATAATTCTGAATCCATATTAAAGAGAACACACATCAGATTTTAATAAAAGAAATGACAATGTCACGAAATTTGAAGTTGGTTTCCTCACACAAACTTATCAACGAAAGTCCTTAAGAAATTTGAATCCCCATTCCACAACACAAACCCAAATTTAGAGCCAAATTTCTCTGACGGCAGATTAATTTGGGGTTGGAATTGTGTGATGGTTAGAGATGTCTCCACTTACTTCCCAATCTTAGGGCACGACGAACACGCGGGTCGAACAAGAGAAAGTGAGAGGATTGGGTTACACAACAAGCTGTATCTAGCATGGGGCAACGTTAGGCAAACTAGCGCTAGGCGAGGCTTGTCATGGGTCTCACGAGTCATAACCTCGATCCGTTTGAGATAATTACTGAACTTATTTTTAAAAGTATATGTATAGGTCTTCATTTTACTATTTACTATTGATTAATATTTTTTGAATATTATATTGTTTGACTAAAAATATTTTAATTAAAAATAAATAATAAAAAATTAAACTCGTGCAGAGTATTTGTCTCCTTTCCCCTGTCTGTTTTTCTTTCACGCTCATTTATGTCATATAGTGCTTCAACATACTTCCCCGGTAACGAGATTGTGTTCTCTTGTCGTTGTTTCTGGTCGTTTGAGCCTTCGTCCTTACTGCCATAAATTTCTCTAATGGTGACCAAGATCGAGGCCTCAATTTCTCAAGACATGAGTTTTTTCTTATGTTTTTGTAAATGTTTTAAATTTATTAATTAGGGTTAATAAACTGATATTTATTAAAAAAAAAAGGAAATAATCCAATATAAAAGATGAAAAGAGACATTTTATGTTTCATAAACTAAAAAAAAAATAAGCAGGAACACTCAAAGATAATAACATACTACTTTAGAAAATGTCTTTAAGTATGCCAGTCGGATCAGTTCGGCAAATTTATCTTTTTTTTTTTTTTTTGTATTTCCATATAACATCGTTCTTTGTGTATGTAACACTGAATTTGCATTAGTGTAACATTAAAAAAAAAAATTACATACTACTTTAGGAAATGTCTTGCCGGTCGGATCAGTTCGGCAAATATACATTTTTTGTATTTCTATATAACATTGTTTCTTTGTGTATGTAATATTGGATTCGCATAAGTGTAACATTTAAAAAATATAATCCAACACATAAAATATTAAGTATTACAATTAAACAAATAAATATTATACACACGTATAAATAATATTACATGAGAACATGGAAACAAAATTAAATTTATTAGTATACGGTGTGTTAGATTTAAGACATTACCTACTATTTTAATGTTAAAAAAAATATATATATATATAAATATTATAAAAGTCCACCCGGTTGAAAACAAGGGTGAAGCCTACACCTCCTATGAAAATGAGGCTGCTCTCTCGGGCAGTGCTCAAGACTTTTCACATGAGAAGAAGAAAGTTGCGGCAACAGGTAGACCCCAAGTTGGGCAAAAAAGAGCAAGGGTGAAATGACCTCAAAGGATAACAATGAGAGAGAAAAACATATCACTGAGTTTGAGATACGTGAGATGACGCTAACCTTTGAACACTTCCATGGAGAGATCAACCGAATCTCAAGCACTCTAAAAGAGAAGAGATAGAATAGTCTGAATAGATAAGGAGCACTAATTGTAGAGTAAGATGAATAAACATTTGGCTTTGTCCTTTTCCTACATGGGACCTAATCCAAGTTTTGTACATGATTAATATTTTCCAAACTTATCAAAGACCTTTTTTTTTTTTTTTTTTTTTTTTTTTTTTTTGGTACCCTTTTTTTTTTTTTTTTTTTTTAAAACTTTTATAAAATACCAATTCACAAGCCAGTCTGTAAATACAAGTCATCTTTAGTTTATGCTAAATAGATACTAATCTATCAGATGGCAATTGGGAAGGAAGAAGATTGGAAATTGAGGAGACTAATAATTGGTAAAAGGATTGGCCAAGAGGTGCACGTGATTCCTAAAAGTCTAAGGTTTCATTCTATTTGCGAATTCGAGTTTTTAATTCGAATTGAAATGTGATTTTATGTAAAAAAATTTTACTATAATAAAAAAATTAAATATAACTTTTTATAAGAATTTTTAACTGTAAAAAAAATAATAATTAAAAATTTAAATTAGTAAAATACACCGGCTTAAAATTTCCATTAAATGACCCACCAACCCATGAGGTGCAAAGTCCACAGCATCACAACCCCACTGAAACAAACAAAGAAAGAAACAAAAGCCAAAACACAACAGGCCATACGCCTACACCTTGTTTTCAGGCTTTCCCATTATTTTCATCACTCACTGGCCCTCCTTTTTCTTTTTTCTGTTTTTTCATTTCTTTTTCCTTTTCTTTTTCCTTTTCTTTTCTTTTCTTTCATCATCACAAGTCCCACTTTCCCCCACAACTTTCACTTTCTCATGTCTCCATTCACTACAGTTTTGGTCTCTCTTGGGGTCAAAAAGCAGACTCAAAACAATGTTAGATTCAAAGAAAGAAGAACCACCTTTGTATGATTGCTTTTACAGCAATTCAAAGTTTCTTTCTTTTGTATTCAAGGCATGGCCCATCAAACTCAACAAGTGGGTTTCCTATATTTAATGGGTCCCAACAAAATAAATTTTTCTTTTTTTATATAAAATATCAAATAAATGCAAAGACTCAGCCTGTGTGGCTGAAATAGTACTATCTATACTAATCTGGTCATCAAAACACACTGGAATTTATTATTTTGACTTCCCACAAACAGAACCCTCCAAAAATGGACCGACTACAACAACAAGAACAACATTGATCTAGAACATCATGTGCCCAGTCTCACCTAGCTAGATTAAAAGCTTCACAATTACATCATATCAGCATCACAGGCCCATTTCCAGGGGACCCCAACAGATGTCCAATGGTGACTTTCTCTAGGATCAAGAAACTATATTGTAGATCTACCATGTTAAAATAAAACACCTAAAATTTCTTTTTGCAGTCTAATTTATTTATTAGGCTTGTTCATTTACAATTTTTTAAGATACGATGATTTGAGTTCAAATCTTAATTTATTTTAAAATAAATTTATATTTGAATGTGTTCATTTTGAGTTATTATTTGAATTAAAAATCTATTTAAATTTTTATTTAGATAGATCAAAATTTAAATTTGTATTTGGATAATATTGTAATACAAATTTAATGGTGATGAAAAATTTTAATAAAGTATATGAGTGAGATTTTATTTTTCTCTTCATTATAAACGCATAGAAAAAAAACATCTCAATCAAAATTAAAACGAAAAAAAATTATGACGTTTTTAATAATAAAAAAAATATTATTCATTAACTTGAGTTTAAAGGGACCTTAAACTCATATTTTAACCATAAATTCAAGTTCAAACTCAAATTTTACAAAAGACCATGAACTTAAATAAAATTATAACTTGAGTTTAAAGGTTCGGTTAGTACGATAATTCAAATCGGGATGATTCTAATCATGATTCTGAAACAAGAACCATAATGCATGATTTTAAGTTCAAATCATAATTCTAAAACCATGATTCAGAATCAAGAATTTAAATCACCTTGAATCAAGAGAAGAATAATTTTAGAATCATGAGTAATTATGATTTAAAACATCACATCAAATTCTGAATTATGATTTAAAATCATCCAAATTAAATACTGATTCAAAATCACTATAAATAAATACTGATTCAGAATCAGAATTTAAAATTATAATTTTAGATCCATCTACTAAATAAACCCTAAATTTTTTTAAATTTAGATGTAAATGAGCAAGTCAAATAATAAATGAAACAAAATACGAACCAGTACTTAGCAACGTAAGCACACGGAATACCTGCCTGCCACCCTTGGAAATTTATTCTTTTTTCTTTTTATTTATTGTTGTTATTCATTTTTTTTTCTTCTATCACTCAGAACTCAGAAAGACAACAACAGAAGGGTCAAGATTCTTTGCCCATTCTTCTACTCTTTCCTTGACAGCTTAGCCAAAGCTACTTTTTTGCCATTTCAAACAGACTTTTCTCCTTTCTCTCACGCTATTCATCTGCATTTCTTGCAATGCTCAATTAATGCCTAAAAAGTAATGGAATTGAATGGGATCCCCTACACTGACTTCTTGCATTTATTATTTTCTTTAGAAACAAAAAAAAGAAAAGAAAAGAAGAGAGTGGAGTCACAACTTCAGTTGAGCAAAGTGATTCTCAAATGCCAAATATATATATATATATATATATAATATTGTAATGTGATCCTCCCATGCAAATTTTTGGTGATCAATAAAACTTTTTCTGGTTTTTTCATTTTTCAACATCTTACTAAAAAAAATTGTTGCAAAGTCAGCAGAAAAAAAAAAAAAAAGAAGAATAGGGGCTAAAATAAAATGGCAAAGTCAGACAGAATAAAGATAGCGACATTAGAGTATCGTCAGAAATTTAATACACGAGAGGAAAAAAAGAAATCCAAGTTTTAAGCTCAAGCGTTACGCCACTAATTTGTCATTAAAGCTTAAAGACTTTTTACCATTCATTAACAAAGGAATCAATCATTCATATCCCCGAATTCAGATAGTGCG